GATCAGGGCATTCATTACTGCACTCCTGCGGGTATAGAGTCTCTGAATTTTCATTTCTAAGCTCTTATTGGGAACCCATGTCAGGTAAGGGAAGAAATCTCTCCAATCAACATCAATTGCAGCCTCCATTATGTCAAGCACTAGAACCTTAAAGATCTCATCTCTCGACAATGTAGTGCCAAGCTCCTCCACATAAATGGAGTCTTCTATGTTCTTTCCTATGGCCTGCATATCCCATTATTCTAGTTGATTCTATGTTCTTGATTTTGTAATTGCAATGTCAAGTACAAGGAACAAAAGTCAAAGAACAATTTTTTCAAACGAAATGATGAAACACTCACTTGCTTCAATGAAATTCCAAAGAGTTCATATTCAAATATTTTCCTGAAATTAATAGCTTCTTGAGGAGCGCTCTTTACATGAGCATGCAATCGGCTTGCAACATTCTCCCTCATGGTATCTCTGTGGCTTCGGTGTCGCTTCTGCGTGTTATTAAATGGATTTATAACAAGATCTACTTTATTATGGCAACAAAAACAGTAAGCACACAAATTAAGTGAGAACAAAAACTGTAACAATCAACCTGCGCATTTGCTCCAAGAACATTTGTGAGTATGTATCGTTTTATCATCTTGTGAAAGTCGTTGTAGTCACTTATTGCAACCATACATTTATTGCAAGTGAGAATCTTTAGTGCCTTTGATAGCTTTTTCGTTGACATGGACGAATATCTGGTCACCATGGCCTGAAACAACCAACCATTAGAGCAGAAAGTGGTGACCAATATATACAACCAATGACTTCATACCAAAAGGAAAATAATAACATAGAAGCATTCATGTACAAGATAAAACCAGCCCTGTATTATATACGTATTAAGCATTAACATATTGGATATTTAAGAAACAGAACTTCATTGTTAGGACACTTTGATCATTGCCATAGGGCATCTAGGACACTGCTGTTTCTCATCAAAATTTATAATGATGCCAATGGAGAATATTAAACCCATAAGTGGGTAATCAGTAGAAAACTCAACCCAATGGATCTTTCACGGCATTAAGGAAAACACAGGGGGCTTTTGTATCTCATAATTGATAATGCTATACAATAAGTATGATTCTCGTAAACTGCAACTTCAGCTATAGAGTCTTAATTCTCCATGAGATTGCGAATGACACATTGAGACACAGAACACAGTTGTTATTGCAAGAAAGTAATTAATTACTTGTCCACATGAAAAATTTCAGAAAGATCAAAGCGTGAAAAACCTGCCTCTTCTTTAACTTAAATATCAAACGTTTCAGCTTGAGTTCACTTCACAGTCTCCTGTTTGCTACCAAACTTCAGCACAAATGAAGCTAGTCTAGCTAAAAAGAAAGGCCTAACAAGCAACCAAATTTTACCCAACTCTGAAGTTTTAGACACAAAGCCCGCTCTATTTTTCATCTTATGAGATGGTACACACTGAACTCACTTGGTAAGTTGGTATAAACAACATCTATGGTCATTGATCAATAATAAACTTATGAATAGATATTAGATTTTTTTTCCTCAAATAACGAAAGTACCCTTCGAATATGTGACATGGTACATAGAGATTGGTGAGATAAAAATGGGACAAGTTATATATGTAAAGCCTGAGTTGCAGATTCCCCTGAGATCAGCAAAAATGAGAAGAAGAAAGGTACCTCTTTGGCAACATCCGTAGTATTGAGAACGACCACGGTTGAAGCACCAGTCCGGATAGAATAGATAGGTCCATACTTCTCAGCCCACTTTGTAAACGTCTTGTAAGGCTTCTTATCCTTCAGTTGCAGCAAATTCCCCACCACCGGCAGCCCTGGTACCACTGCACACACACCCCAAACAAATTCCCAAGTTAATTACACAATAATCATTGCATCTTCTTTCTTAAATTCCCAAAAACTAATAGTGACAAAGATAAAAGCAGAAATCTCATGATCACTGATCAAGAGAAAATCTCAAAGAACAAGAACATGACATGCAAATTAAGGCAAAGACTGAGAAATATGTACCTGGCACAGAAGGGAGTTGGGAAAATGCACTCTTCTTGGTAAAGATTAAACCTTTGATGGAAAACAGGAAAAGCAAAGACAGAGCACCCAGTGCAACAGGGATGGCAAAGGGCAATGCTTGAAAATCTTGAAGGACTTGTTGAATGGGAGCCATTGATTTTCCCAGAAAGCTAAAAGGAAAGGTACTTGGGTGTGTTGGGAATGCTTTTGATACTTGAAATCACCCAATCACCGGATATAATATATATATGGTGGGGTGTGAAAAATTGTGCCTGGACAGAAAAGGAAGTTACAAAAGTGAGTGAGGGGGGAAGGATAAGCATTAAAAGCACCGAGTTGGCTAAAACAGAGGAAGAAAATCGTCATCTTTCTAAGGTAGTTGCGGTAAAGGAATATGCCCACTCAAAACGTGCTATGGCCCTTCCTTCTCCTGAATCTAAATCTGCTCCATTGGTCTGTCTTTTTCTATTTGGTAAGCTCAAGCATGGTGATTCCATTTTGGCCTTTCGTTCCTAAGATGGCCAGTCACTCTGGGGCATGGGGACAAAAATGGCATCTGGGTATCGAAATGGTTCCAGATTCATTTCATGCGTTGGCCTTAAATTAGAAAACTAATAATTCTTCTACCTTGTAGGCTTTGTACGTGTCACGAAATCAAAGCTTAGTTCTTTTCTTTATATGTTTATGTTTTATTTGGCGTCGCTTAGAGGATTTTTAAGAGGGATGTGAAATACCAAATATTAAATCCAAATTTAATAGTTGATATGGCAATTTGACAGTTACACAATTTTATACTCCACTCAATATGTCAAATTAAATTATTATTTTATTACATTTAAATGATCATTCAAGATAGGAAATAAATTGGAAAGAGAAAGAATGCAAAAATTTGTAACAGTCAAATTATTCAAGATAATGAAGAAAATAATAAATGAAAATAACAACCAGCTGTCTTTAAAAAATAATAAAATATTTATTTGACCTTGCTTTTGGAATGTCAAAAGTAACGGCTGAACCTTTAGCCTTCATTCCACATCAGTTTTGACAATTCAGTAGGAGTGATGTGAGATGTTATTTATAGTTGTTAAATGTTTATATGACACTTTTGACATATCAGTTGGAGATGCTCTTACTTCTGACTCTGTGTGTGACACTATCCTGCTTGGGAAGTTGGGCTTTGGGTTCTTCCTTGCCGCTCGTGAAAGACACCAACTTTAATCTTCAATTTCGGTTTTTGTCCATTGTTTTAGACAAAGCTTTAAAATTTGAACATTGTCTGTGGTGTCCTTATGGATACAATTGTAACACCCCGACTCTATTTAATTTCCAATGCAAAAGGGTAAAACTAAATTAAATGTGAAATTACGAAACTACCCTTGGGGTAGGGTATTTCGGTCATTTTCTTGTCCGGAAGGATTTTGGGACCACAAGTGGTTTGGTTGCGTAGGTGGTTCTGAGATGAATTTGTGGACAGGTGGTAGGCTTGAATCGGAGTTATAACGAAGTTTTGGCGATCAAATTGCTTTCGGTGGCAAAACCGTAAATAATTCGAAAAGGGTATTTGTAAAACAAAATCAGATTTTTAGTTCTTTTTCTTTTTTTTTCCCTGTCTTCTCTCTCTCCCCGCGCACTCTCGGTTTCTCTCTCCCCGACGCGACCTCCTCCCTCTCGTCACTGTTCACCTGAACAGAATTCTCCACGCCGCCATTGCTTCCGGCCACCCCAGCCCTCGAGACCGGTTCCGTTTGACTCGTAGTGAAGTCCCGGACCTGACCCACCCAAAATCCCGACCGTAAAGCTCGAGAACCGCCGACAGTTGCGACTGGTTCGAATCGGAGGTTTTCCGATTGTTGCACCACCGCTTCAGTCGTCCTTTTCCGGTGTTAAAGGTGAGTTTTCTCATTCTTTTTATCTGTTCTAGCTGCCTGTTGCTTAGGATTGAAACGATTTTGAGGTTTTGGAAGTTATTTTCAAATTAGGTTTTTGGCCGGTTTTCAATTCGAAATTCCGGCCAGTTCCTGGTGGTTTTAGGCTTGGCCGTAGTTGAATGAAGTGCTCCCTTAGTTGAGTAGGACCTGTAGCCGGGAGGGTGACTTGTGATTTGGAGATTTTCCGTCGCCAGAATTTCTCTGCACACCCGCTTGCTGCCGGCGCATGTGCCGGCGCGTTTTCAAACTGAAGTATGTTCCTCTAGATACCTTTAGGATCGTGTATGATTCGACGGATCGTAAAACGGAGTCCCGGATACTCCGGAAATGCCAACCCTAGGGTTAGGGTTTTAGTAACCGTCCGATCGTGAGCGATCTGACCGTCCGATCCGGATCAAACTTGCAGGACGTGTGTCCTAGACCTTGTAGGACCTATGGGAACTGTCGGATCGGAATTTGAAGGTCGTGGACCAGGGGGCCCGTTTGACCGAGGCTGGGTAGTTTGACCCTGGGTTGACCGTGAGACTTCCTAGGTAGTGTTACCTTCCTAGGAAGATTATAATGACCCTAGTGACAGGCCTTGAGAGTTGTTGAGTGATATTGATTATGTGGGATTAGGATATCAATTTATGGTGATAAATTGGGGGTTTATCGGATGTTATATCTTGGAGTTGAGGTTGATGTAATAGTGGATTATATTTAAATATATATTATTATTTTATAAAGATACTTGAGGGCACTATAAGTGCCACCCTGTGATTTGTTGTTGAGGTGCTTACAATATTAGAAATTAATATACATTTGTATGTATTTATAAAGGTATGAAAAGAGTATAGATTGTTAGTTTGAAGTGCTAAATGCACTACCTTAAATACCTTCCTGGTTATGGGTTTTATGTTTGAGATTTATTTTTGCCCAGGCCCGTCGGAGATTGATTTATTTTTGCCCAGGCCTATCGGAGTTTGTCCAGGCCTTTCGGATGTTTTCTTGATACGATGCCTTGAGAAGGAAGTGATAATGTTTCAATGTGTTATTATCGGATTTAGAATTGTGATAGATTCGAAAGGTATAGAGGTTTGGAACAATTGAATTAAGGAAGAAAATATCATTTTATAATGTTGTGATAAGGGTTACGAACTCCACCATCATACGTACCTTCCCTGGTTACTATTCACACACGTGCCGTGTTTCGGGCGTTTGGGCTTTCTTGGTTACGGATCCTGGAATTGTGGGATGCA